GCTTGTTAGAGATTAGAGATTCGACAAGTTAAGAATCAAGTTGGACATGTGGGAGGCAAGCTTTTTTTGTGTGTGTGTGTGTGTGTGTGAGAGAGAGAGAGAGAGAGAGAGAGTAAGGCTATTTTAATTGCAGGGGTGGCACTGGGATTTTGAAGAACTGAAGTGGGGGAGGTGAGATTGACATTTGACCTTCATAATGAGAGCAAATTAAACCTGACCAATGTGACTGGAATTTATTAATATTGGAAATTAAGGAAAACATAAATAAATAGTAGTATTACTATCATAAAACAAATATTAATCAAATATTATAAAAATAATGTAACTGAGGTTTGACTAATAAAGGAAAAGAAAAATAATGATTAGGTAAAGGCACGGGCCCCACCAGAGGAGTACTCTCCCAGATTAGTCATTTGTCAGCATTTTTGCAGTGTAAGAAGATTCAGTGGGGTTTCTCTTACATATTTCCCTCTTCTACTCTATGATTTATAATAATATCCATATTTATTTTATAATTATCATATATTGGTTGACAATTTGGCAATAATCATATTGAAAGTGGATATATGATATATATATCACTAGGTTCATTCTTGTTAACATGCCCTAAATAAATATGAGAAAGGTGTACCAAACCAATAATATTAATTCAGTCAATTAATTTAAATTTAAATATAAATATCTTCAGTGCACCGACTTCAATCCTTTTGTAATAATACTTATATTCATGTAATGATAATTACAGCTAATAGTGAGTACACATATTTAAAAATATATTCTTTCTTTAAGATTTTTTTACATGATGAATTGATGGATCTCGACGTGTGATACAATACAGCTTGTGGTAATTTCTAGGAGCTATAAGAAACTCAGGTTTAAATTCGAAGCAACGCTTTTATATTACTATTTATTTTAATAATCTAACTTATATTAAGCTGTAAAATAGAATACTGAGTTGCCAAACGTTAACTTAACGAAGAGTGAAAAAATTGACCTTTTTTTGTTCGAATTGTTTTTTCATCGGTAGGGGAGGAGGAGTTAATTCCCAATCTCAACTAAGGGTATTTTAGGTATTTGCTAACCATTTTCTTGATATTTGGTTTATAATTTTTTTTTTGAGTAATTCAAGTCATTACAAGGGGAAGTAGGGGAGGGGGGACTCGAACCCTAGACCTTTTACCCTATTGGTAAGGCTAGGTACCAACTCTCCTAATGAGGGTTGGTAAAAAATTATTTGTTAAAATATAAAAAACAATAGAATATTTGGTTTATAATTTAGATTATATTAATTGCGTATTTAGATTTTAGATCATATGTAATTTAGTATTGACATTTTTAGCTGTAAGGTCAAACCATAGTACTAGTAATTCGTACTTAATTATACCAGAAAATAAATGACGCGGTTTGAATTTGTTATAAAAACGGTGAATGAGATTTCTAATTCAAACAATTTTATGTTCTATATTAAAAAAAAAAGTCAAAGTAATTACACACAATAATTACTTATATGCTAAAATATTTGAAAGAGATTAATATATTAATAATAAGTGTACTTGAGTCACTTTTTACATATTTTTACTATAATCCATGCAAACCTTTTTCTTTGGATCTTGCAAATTTAATTATTTATTTAGAATAGTGTTTCTTGGATCTGCTTCCAGTTTCCACATTCCATTACTGCATGCAAACAGTGTTGAGAGAGTAGCCATCCACAAATTGATTAAAGAACATTTATGATAAATACTAATTATATTAATCTTTTATCTACCTTAAAATATTGAGAAATTATTTAAATATAATTTATTTTTTTAATGAATTGAGAATTTTTTTGAAGTTATATTTAAAGGTATTTGTTAGTACTGATTTCAAAAATAGTAGTAAAAAAAATAAGATAAAAACGTAATAGTGCTGATGGATTAGGCCCAAAATCTTGAACTGGGGCCCAAATCTAATAATTTCATGTCCAACATAAGAACCGGATGAATTAATAGGCTAGGCTAATAAAGGCCCAATTATATATGTGGGGGCACATGATGCTTAACTTGATTAATTAAGCTTAATGACATGGGCAATTAAATTGATTGTGTCAATAAAATTGTTCCTCACCTTGCAATTAGGGGTAAGTAATTACTTCTTTTTTAATAAAAAAAAATACTTTTAAAAAAAAAAAAAAAAAAAAAAAAAGTGGCCTGGTAGTGTGACCTTAAAGCTTGACAAAGTCAAAGAAAAGCAGTAAGGCCTTCTTGAATTCTTCTTCTAAGGAAAATCTAATTAACTACTGATTTAATTGTAGGCTTATATCTTTTCAATACTTCCTACTTGTTATATTCTATCAATGTATTATTATTATTAGGGTAAATTACAAATACCCCCCTGAGGTATGGTCAAATTACAAAAACCCCCCTCTTGTTTGGATAATTACATCTACCCCTCAATTATGATTTTTTTCTTAGACCTCCACCTTTATGGTGCCAAATTCAATATAGTCATTTAGATTCTGTGAAATGTGCTCTAGTTTGTACTCTTTTTTTGTAAAAAATACAGTTTACGATGCACCACAAACTGATACATACAAGCTAAAAATCACATATTATATCTTGCTTCATAATGTAGAGTTTGAATGGGATAAAACGGGTACAAAAGTGATAATATTCCATATAATCTCGAAGATCCACTAAATTTGATGAGTTGAGGGGGTGGTTGTAATTATCCAAACAAGAGGGGTGTTTTTGTAATTTGACCATACCTCAGGGGGGTGTCTGTAATTTACCCTTATCATGATTATTATTATTTGTTATGATCCTCTTACACGACTTACGTTACCTAGGAAAAGGCCAGAGCTGACTTTTCCTTAGAGACAGTTAGACCATCCATCTCAGTTGACTTTGACTTTTTCTACAAAATGTAAACTGCAGCAAGGTTATTTGTCAGTCATCATATAAACTGTCTCATGTAACATGTTATAATTTTTCTCAGACAGAACTAAAGGCAATATGTTGGTGGTGGCAGTGGCGGTAATTCTATTGCCTATTTTCTTCATCTCCCTCAAGAAATTAGGGTTTTTTGGATCATCATCAACAGAGAAACTCCCACCAGGCCCTAATGCATTGCAGCTTCTCCGAAAAGTTTCCGAATTTAGAAACAAACCCCACATAGCAATCACCACCCTTGCTAAACTCTACGGTCCAATCATGTCCTTCCACCTCGGCACCCAAGTCGTCATCATTGCGTCATCATCGTCAGCCGCCAAGCAGATCTTCAAAACCCATGACCAGAATTTCTCCGGCAGGTATCTGACTTCTGTTTTCTGCAAACTCCCAACAATCGAACACTGCTCCTTAGCAATGTCCAGGGAATGCAACGCCACGTGGAAGCTACTGCGTGACGTCACCCAGAACGTCATCTTCTCCTCCAAATCCGTTCATTCCAAGGCGTGCACGAGGAAGGCCAAGGTGGCGGAGATGGTGGAGTACATACGAAGCAAAGCCGGCGAAACCGTCGACCTCGAAGATTTGATGAACTCCACTATTTATAATATAATTAGCGACGTGTTGGTTTCGAGAAACCTCGTCGATATTACGAGGGAGGATGAGGGTGATGGAAAGGTGAGGGCTGTTGTTAGAGAAATCATTGACTTGGTTTCTTCCTCTGTAGGGTTGTCTGATTTGTTTCCTGTACTAAGAAAGTTGAATTTACCTAGTACTAAACGAAAAGCTATGGAAATTCATGGGAAAATAATGTATATTTGGGAAGATATTGTCAAGGAGAGACGATCGGAAAAGCGCGACAGAGGACTTGTGGATGCGAATTCGGGTGGTGATTTCTTGGATGTTATGATCGAAAACGGGTTTCCGGATGATCAGATCTGCAATGTTACCATGGTTTGACCTAGTTTACTCTTACCCTTCATTCATTTATTATGATCAATTCATATATACATTCATTGACTTGTGGATATTGAAATTGAATTTTCGATTTCCGCCAATTTTGATCTGAAATTTTCCAATTTACATGAGATTCCGGTTTTTCGAAAATAATCCCGAAAATTTTGAATTTTTTCCCCAAAGATTACACTAATAATACAAATATTATTATGCATTTTATGTTTTAAATGACTGCACAATTGGAATTCGGAATTCTGCCTATTCTGATCATCTCAATTTTCAAGATTGCGATTTACGAATTTTTTTCTTTTGTGGAACGGATTGGAATTATTTTTTCATTTTTGAAAAAAATCGGATTTTTTTACGAAAGTGGTAATCCCAACATTTTCAGGAGCTATTGGCAGCTGGAATGGATACAAGCGGAATAACATCAGTGTGGTTGATGGTAGAATTGATTAAAAACCCTCACATTTTGCGTAGAGTTCGCGACGAAATTGCAAGCGCATTTGAAGGAGATGATCGTACGCTAATCGACGAGTCGATCCTAAGCGACTCCCACTATTTCCAGGCATGTATAAAAGAAACACTAAGGCTTCACATTCCGGGCCCACTTTTAATGCCACGTCGTGCAATCGAGACGTGCAAGATCGATGACTACGTAATCCCAAAGGATAGTGTTATTCTTGTGAATGCTTGGGCTATTTCCATGGATCCTGACACCTGGAAAGATGCTACGAGTTTTAACCCCGACAGGTTTCTTGAATCGAAAATAGATTTCCGGGGGAATCACTTCGAGTATATACCTTTCGGCTCTGGAAGACGAATGTGCCCTGGATTTAATCTTGCTTTGAAAGATATTCAAATAGTGGTGGCTTCTTTGGTGCATTATTTCGATTGGAGTCTTCCGAACGGAATGGATCCGACTCAAATCGACATGGCCGATAAATTCGGAACAGTGCTCAAGAAGGAAACACCTTTGCTTTTGATTCCTAGTCTAAAAAAATATTGAAAAAAATTTGATCTTTAATCATATCAATTTATATATATTTCATGTTTCTTGTATTTTCATACGGTTGATTTTTTATTTTTATTTTTTTGTTTTAGTATTTTCGTGTACAATAAGTGGGCTGGTATTCAAATTTTCAAAAGCCTTGTAATAATAAATGATCTGTAATTTATTTATTTTACTTAATCCCCTGTTTTTAAACATTGCATATTGGCTATTATTTGAAAATGATGGTATGAATAATCATCAATATTTGTTTATTTTCAGCATAATCTTTCTGGCATGTGTCGCCATCAGCCGATGACACTCGACATCTCGAACCTTAATGTTCGATTAATCTGTGTAAAAATTATTTATCGTCAATCTTTGGATAGTAAATTGCATTAACTGACTCATGCACAGTTGTTTATTCTGTTTCCAATGTTTGCTTTTCTCATGGAGAAATATAAAGAGTTTCATCGTATTTATCACGGCAGCTCGATTTATTTTTTTCTTTTAATAGTGAAGAACACATGATCCCAGATGACATTGACCTGATAGAATGACTTACGAGGTTGGTTGTGTTGAATTAATTGTATTATTCAAAAATCGAGTTTTTCTTCGATTAATATTTATATAAAAAAAAATGGTTTGTTTTAGGAACTGCAATCGCAGGGAGAATCGGTCGGCAGCGAGAGCAAAGGACTTCCTGCCGATCAGATTGCGCTGTTGCCAACTTTCAAGTACAAAACCGGATCGAAGAAAAAGAAAAAAGAAAAGGAAGAGTGAGTTTCTCAAACTTATAACTTGAGTTTTGATCCTATTTTTATATTATTCGTAATGTTGAATAACTGATTAACAAGATATTACGCCGGTTACATTAAATGAACCCCTCGTTTGGCGTTTACACGATAGATGGTTCCTTTTACACGTTTACCCCTCCGTTATAAAAGAAATGAAGTGAGCTTGCTTTTTTTTTTTTTTTTTTTTTTTTTTTTTACCCTTTTAATGAAATTTAGGAGAGCTAAATGCATTCGAAGGTCATGCGGAAACATAACGACTGTCATGGTTTCCGAAACATTTGAAAATCCGGGCAGATTGTTTTAATGTCGTATGTGAATGAAGAAGGTGAAACATATTGTCGTGCGAAAAATATCAATGAGGATGATGACGTGGCTACATCATCGACTACAACCAAAAATGATACGTCACAAGTTGGACTAATATACAAGTTCTTGAATCGAATATCGATTTCAGGGGGAATCATTTCGAATTTATACCGTTCAGGGCCGGAAGAAGGATGTGCCCTGGATTTAATTTGGCTTTGAAGAATATTCAAATAGTGGTGGCATCTTTGGTGCATTACTTTGATTGGAGCCTTCCGGATACGATGGATCCGACCCGAATTGACACGGCCGAGAAATTTGGTACAGCGCTGAAGAAGGAGACGCCATTGAAGTTCTCTAAAGAGATTAAATTAAACTTATATTCTAGTTTAATAAAACAAATACTGGGGTCATTAGCAATAAGCCCCTCGTATAGCTAAAAAATGGTGATATGTCTATCATTTAAATCTTCTTTTGTGATCCCTATAAATTGTATTTTTAATATTGCCCTTATATCAATTAGCATAATTTGTATCAATTATTTTTTTTTTCTCTTTTCATAACAACAATCTAATTCCTAAAAATCTAATTCCAAATTCCTAAAAATCTGCTACCAAATAAAAAAATAAATTGAATTTTTTTATTTTTTATTATTTCGGATTTATTTCGCAAGTTTTTACTTTTTACTTTTTATTTTTTAATACTTTTTAGTAAAAATATTTTTATTTTTATTTGTTTTAAACAATTTGAATTTTTTTTCTCGACCTGCTTACTACGCCGAATATGACTATAGTTGAATATGACTGACTATATGTAACTTATATATCAACCGTTGTCACATTCTTTCTTTATATTGCAGTTTTTAACAATTTCAATTTAAAAATTCCGATTATATAATGTGATACAGTCATGTTTACCAAATTATATAAACCAACGAAGATGGTGAACAAAACGACGTTTATGACTTTATAAGACACAAAGAAATGAACTTGATAAATGCAACAATATACAATGAGATGCTATGATGAGAAGTGAATTCAATTAATGTATTGAATTCCATATGAAAAATGAAAATATACAAATAGTGGATTGTGAAATCTATTTATAAATTTTCAAAGGTTATGACCACAAGGCACAACTCTTAGTAAAATAATTTTATCAAAATGAATAACACATTTTCTCATTAATTACACATATATTCTATTAATAGGTGCTTAAACACCTTCATTTTTTCAACGATGAAACTGATAAAAAATCGCCATTTTCTACGTAGACTCTGGGGCGAAGTTGTAAAGTCTTAAATTCTAGTTTAAAATAAATATTTGTGTTTCAACTTTGATCTTAATTACAGCTTGGCAAAGTCAAAGAAAAGCTGTTTTTATATTCTACCGATGTATTATTTGTTAGCAAAGTCATAGTCTATACTCTATAGTGGGTGTTCGCGGGCCATAAACCCGCGGGTTCTATCAAAATCCGCCCTCGTCCAGTCAAATAATGGTTCTTGATTTTGAAAAATCAAAATTGTGGGTATTCAATGAGTTTACGATAGACGGGTCCATGGCGAGTTTGTAGCAGGACCTAATCTTTATAGGTCGAAACCCGTTATCATCTGAACCATTTTTTTTTATATAATTTATAAGTTTTACGGGAGAATAATTAGAAACTAAATTGAACAACCTAAAATCTTAAATTGAAACCAAACATAAATAATGTAAATGCCAAGAGTAAATAAAAATTAATACAAGTTTTAACCATAAAATTCATTATAAAACTAAAAGTAACTAATTCTGAACTTAAAAGACAAAATTTAAATAAAATAAATGTTGCATTTTCAAGCATAACCAACGCCATTAAGCTCCATTCAACACCATTTTCTTTTTTCTTTTTTTTCTTTATGCCGTGTGTTGACTGTTGCGTATATATGCTTTTTTCCTACATTTTCTTAGAATTTTTCATAATTTTTATAGAAATTACTTCCACAATTATAATTTAGTTTATTTATGTATTTGATAAACTAAAGATACTTTATTTATTCATTAATATTATTAATTTATTATATTATATAATGTAAATAAAACGACGTCGTTTTGTATGGCGGGGCGGGACGGATTTCACGGTATTAAAAAAAATTGAACTTGTCTTAGACCCAGACCCACGGTTCTTTATCACTTTAGAATCCAATCATATGTATGAATCTATCCGTCGGGTGTAGCGGATTGATGAGTCCGACTTGCTCACCTTTACTCTATATTTTGCTCACCCCTACTCTATATTTACAGATTTTCTTTCTTATTTATTTAGTTATTTATTATGATTCTATCACACGTACGTTACCTAGGACAAAGCCAGAGTTGACTTTTGACTTTCTCTGCAAGGTTAAGAACCCAGAAAAAAAAATTCCAAGATTTATCAATTACAGGCTCGATCTGTGCAGTTCCTGGAGTAAGAATTTAAACCTTTCCATTCCTGATTTTTTCTCAGACAGAAAATCAATATGTCGGTTGGTAATTCTGTTGCCTATTTTCTTCATTTCCCTCAAGAAATTAGGGTTTTTTGGATCATCAACAGCGAAACTCCCACCAGGCCCTAATGCATGGCAACTTCTCCGAAAAGTTTCCGAATTTAGAAACAAACCCCACATAGCAATCACCAGCCTTGCTAAACTGTACGGTCCAATCATGTCCTTCCACCTCGGCACCCAAGTCGTCGTCATTGCGTCATCATCGTCAGCCGCCAAGCAGATCTTCAAAACCCATGACCAGAACTTTTCAGGCAGGTATCTGATGACTTCTGTTTTCTGCAAACTCCCAACAATAGATCACTGCACGTTAGCAATGTCGAGAGAATGCGGCGCCACGTGGAAGCTACTGCGTGACGTCACCCAGAGCGTCATCTTCTCCTCCAAATCCGTTCATTCCAAGGCATGCACGAGGAAGGCCAAGGTGGCGGAGATGGTGGAGTGCATACGAAGCAAACACGGCGAAACAGTCAACCTCGAAGTTTTGATGAACTCCACTATTTCTAATATAATTAGCGACGTGTTGGTTTCGAGAAACCTCGTCGATATCACGAGGGAGAGTGAGAGTGATGCAGAGGTGAGGGGTGTTGTTAGAGAAATCATTGAGTTGGTTTCTTCCTCTGTAGGGTTGTCTGATTTGTTTCCTGTGTTGAGGAGGTTGAATTTACCTAGTACTAAACGAAAAGCTATGGAAATTCATGGGAAAATAATGTATATTTGGGAAGATATTGTCAAGGAGAGACGATCGGAAAAGCGCGACGGAGTACTTGCGAATGCGAATTCGGGTGGTGATTTCTTGGATTTTATGATCGAAAACGGGTTTCCGGACGATCAGATCTGCAATGTCACCATGGTTTGACCTAGTTTACTCTTACCCTTCATTCATTTATTATGATCAATTCATATATACATTCATTGACTCGTGGAAATTGGAATTGAATTTTCGATTTCCGCCAATTTTGATCTGAAATTTTCCAATTGATCGAAATTGGAATTTACATGAGATTCCCATTTTTCGAAAATAATCCCGAAAATTTTGATTTTCTTTTTCCCGAAGATTACACTATTATAATACAAATATTATTATGCATTTTATGTTTTAAATGACTGCACAATTGGAATTCAGAATTCCGCCTATTCTGATCATCCCAGTTTTCAAGATTCCGATTTACGAATTTTTTTCTTTTGTGGAACCGATTGGAATTATTTTTTCATTTTTTAAAAAAATCGAATTTTTTTACGAAAGTGGTAGTCCCAACATTTCCAGGAGCTATTGGCAGCTGGAATGGATACAAGCGGAATGACATCGGTGTGGTTGATGGTAGAATTGATTAAAAATCCCCACATTTTGCGTAGAGTTCGCGACGAAATTGCAAGCGCATTTGAAGGAGATGATCCTACGCTGATCGACGAGTCGATTCTAAGCGACTCCCACTATTTCCAAGCATGTATAAAAGAAACACTAAGGCTTCACATTCCGGGCCCATTTTTGATGCCACATTGTGCAATCGAGGCGTGCAAGATCGACGACTACATAATCCCAAAGGATAGCGTTGTTCTCGTAAACGCTTGGGCTATTTCCATGGATCCCGACACCTGGAAAGATGCTACGAGTTTTAACCCCGACAGGTTTCTTGAATCGAAAATAGATTTCCGAGGGAATCATTTCGAGTATATACCTTTCAGCTCTGGACGACGAATGTGCCCCGGAATAAATCTTGCTTTGAAAAATATTCAAATAGTGGTGGCTTCTTTGGTGCATTATTTCGATTGGAATCTTCCGAACGGAATGGATCCGACTCAAATCGACATGGCCGATAAATTCGGAACAGTGCTCAAGAAGGAAACACCTTTGCTTTTGATTCCTAGTCTAAAAAAATATTGAAAAATATTTGATCTTTAATCCTATATATATATATATATATATATATATATATATATATATATATATATATATTTCATGTTTCTTGCATTCTCATAAGGTTTATTTTGCCTTTTTTTTTTTTAAATAGTATTTTCGTGTAAAATAAGTGGGCTGGTATTCAAATTTTGAAAAGCCTTGTAATAATTAATAATCTGTAATTTATTTATTTGACTTAATCCTTTGTTTTTAAACATTGCATATTGGCTATTATTTGAAAATGATGGTATGAATAATCATCAATATTTGTTTATCTCCAGCATATAATCTTTCTGGCATGTATCGCCATCGGCCGGTCACACTCGGTATCTCGAACCTTAATGTTCGATTAATCTGTGTAAACGATTTTTTATCGTCAATCTTTGGATAGTAAATTGCATTAACTGACTCATGCACAGTTGTTTATTCTGTCTCCAATGTTAGTTTTCTCATGGAGAAGTATAAAGAATTTCATCGTATTTATCACGGCAGCTCGATTTATTGTTTTTCTTTTAATAGTGAATCTTTTTTGAACTTAAATGTCCGATTTCCGTCATAATTTCACTATTATTTTCTCATGTTCGAAAGAGATTTCGAAAGTTAAGTTGATTATTCCCTTGCCATTATTAGTTAGTTCTCTAGCGAAGAATTTCTATTTATAAACTCTCTCCTCAACAATAAGACAAAGTATATAAAACAAAGCACAATTTGGAGGTAAACTTCGCTAAAAAAAATCCCGATTTGGTATATAACTTCCGTTTGCATTTAACTTCCGGATAATCACATGGCAGCTTCGTTTATTTAATTATTAACGTATGATTTTTCTTTGTAGTTTCTTAAAACATCGATCATGAATGCTGGGGAAAGTAGCCATCAATTTAGCGGTATGACACAAGCTGAAATTGCCGAATATGTCAAGATTTTTTTACCCGAATTCGGAGATCTCGATGTTGACGAGGTGCTGTTACTACAGGTATATATATGTATTTTGAAATAATTTTTATCTAATTTTTAGTACACTGCAGCATTAATTTTACCTTCATTCACTAATAGTCTTCGTGTTTATATGTAACAGGAAAGCGCTCTCTATGCACAAAACAACAAACAGAAAAACGTAACCTCCGATTATGGCCAAAAAAATGAGTATTACATAATCGACGGTGAATCATCGCATGGAACAAATGTCGATGAACAATTGGCTATTGATGAAGCCTTAGCGAGATCATTGGAGTTTGTAGACGACTTCGACGATTTATGCATTTCCGAGCCTGTTACCACTACAGTTGGTAAATTCATAATCATTCCCGCATTATGAAATTTTATTTTATTTTGCTCGATATAACCGTCACAATTGATAAAGAAAATATAAATATGATGTATACAGATCACAACAGAGGATCAACTTCGAGACAAACACCTATCGCGGTACTTTTACGACTTTGATCGTCCTATTAATTAATTAATTTATTAATGCGTATTCCAAAATTAAGGATCGTGATATACTTTTGCTATGCGTCGTTGTTCTCAGGGTACGGAGCAACACGTGATCCCAGATGACATTGACCCTGATAGAATGACTTACGAGGTTGGTTGCATGTGTTGAATTAATTGTATTATTCAAAAATCGAGTTTTTCATCGATTAATATTTATAAAAAAGAATGGCTTGTTTTAGGAACTGCAATCGCTAGGAGAATCTGTCGGCAACGAGAGCAGAGGACTTCCTGCCAATCAGATTGCGCTGTTGCCAACTTTCAAGTACAAAACCGGATCGAAGAAAAATAAAAAAGAAAAGGAAGAGTGAGTTTCTCAAACTTACAATTTGAGTTTTGATCGTATGTTATATTATTAATTCGTAATATGAATACCTGATTAACGAGATATTACGCCGGTTACATTAAATGAACCCCTCCATTTGGCGTTTACGCGTTAGATGGTTCCTTTTACACTTTTACCCCTCCGTTATAACAGAAATGAAGTGAACTCGCTATTTTTTTTTTACCCTTTTAATGAAATTTAGGAGAGGTAAATGCATTCGAAGGTCATGCGGAAACAAAACGACTGTCATGGTTTCCGAAACATTTGAAAATCCGGGTAGATTATTTTACTGTTGCGCAATTCATGGGTTCTCCCATTGGTGCACGTCGTACGTGAATGAAGAAGGTGAAACATATTGTCGTGTGAAAAATGTCAACGGAGATGATGACGTGGCTACATCATCGACTACAACTGAAAATGATACGTCACAAGTTGGACTAATATACAAGTTGTTAATTTTAAATCTAATCATGCTGGCTGTGTACATGTTATGCCAAATTGTAGTTTTATTTGCAAAATAAATGCAATACTGTTATCTATCTAACTTAATGTGTAATGTATTAATATACTAATTTTACCTCCCCTCGACATCAAAATTTCTGTCAATTCTCACTACATTACATTCAGCTCCGATTAAAAAAAGACGAGGGTAAAAGTGACATTTCACATTGTCCGTTAGGTATTACTTCGTTATAACAAGTTTTTCTCATGCATATCTATAATTTTATTAGTTGTGTGATATGCTGCGCACCGTGTAAGAGTGGAGCTGAAATGACGACTTTGCCCTGCGCGCACCATTACCATACGGAATGTATCACCCATTGGTTGGAGTTGAATAAGGTTAGTGATTTTATATATATGCTTCTTATCATTTTCTGGAATCAGCATAAAGTTTATTCGCAATAGTGGTCTTTTATTACATACAACATTGTTCTTGCAGAATTGTCCCGTTTGCCAGAAGGAAGTGGAAGTCGATTAAATTTCACCATGGCCAAGTTCTTGTTCTTGAAAGTGAAGCCCAACAATGGATTATAGTCTTTATTTGTTTTTATTTATTTATTTATTTAACTAGGGTATTATTTGGAACTTTAGCTAATCAGGGAAATAATTATATTTACCATATATTTTATATGAATTCGATTTATATAACGTTGGCATTTTCTTGTAAGTTGGAAATTGGAATCGTTAGATTTTTTTTACAATAATTCATCCATTTATTGTGGAATTGTTGAAAATAAATAGTTAATATTTCTAGGCTAGCGTAAGAAACCAAATAATATAGTTATGAATCCGGTGGGTTTTAGATTAGTTTGGTGGTGAAGTAAATTAATAATTTGTATTATTATTATATAATGTAGACATGCAATTCACGTTTTCATAGACAAAGAAATCTTGACTTTGTTTCTCACCGTTGATTTGTTTGTAGTCAATTTTCTGCCATTTGGCGTGACGTAATTGATTGGTACGGTTCAACCGTTTAGACTTTGTATCCGTCGTCCAGTCTAACAGTGGGATCAAGTGAATTTGTGTCAATTAATCAAAATTCAAATTTCCTCTCCAATAATTGCTAAATCGAACATGATACACATAGTCAACGTAATGTGCTTTACGTTTCTCTTTTTATTTTGTATATTTCTAAATCCCACTATTGAAATCCTGCAATGACTTGTCGGTGTCAAAAGACCGTTCCTAAAAATTCCATTCTTGTGTGACGGACAAGTAATTATGGGTCGTGCGAATCGAATTTTACTTTACTTAATTAAATGTAAGTGTGAGAATAAAATATAATGAACTTTATTTCATTTTTCTTTTCATAATACAAAAGTATATAATAATTATGAAAAAAAAAAGTAAAGGACCATGTGTTTCCCCATCTTTACCGAACCAAATTATTTAATTTCTCATGTTCACATCATCAATATGTCAATCGATCGTGTGTGATTGCTTGATTTTTAAAATAATTATTACAAAAAGTCTGACCAATAATAGTACCCACCACTTAGAGGGGTGAGAAATGAAAATAAAAAAAAATAAAAAAACAAACACGAGGAATTTTATAGTAGCAATTTAAAATAATAAAGGGGTTTATTTTGCAATTAACTGAATTCTTATTTCTTACAATAGAGTAGGGCTGTGCATGGATCGGTTTTAACCACCAACCAACCCATTTTCGACCCACAATTTGTGATGGTTAATCAACCATCAACCGACCCATTTAAGTTGGGTCGATAATGTCAACCAACCCATGTATAGATGGGTCGATAATGGTTTCTAATATGCTAAAAAGTTGGTTAGTCGGTTAATATCGGCCAACCAACTTTATTCATTAATTTATTATTTATTAATTTTAATTAAAATATTTAATATTTTTAATTTCAAATTTCTATTTTATATCATATTTATTAAATTGTTTAATATTGACCAAAATCCTAAAAACAATAAATCTAACCTAATTATCTAATTTGAACTATTTTAATTTTAAAACATATAGTCTAAATATTTGGACGATAATTATCTGTTGTACTATTTATGTTTAATTGCAATATATATGCCCGTAATGTTTTGTTTTTTTCATTTGAATATTATTGAACTAGTCGCATTTAATTTATAAAAGATACAGCGTTGTAACAAGTAATAAAATATTAAAAAGAAATTTAAAAATATTTAGATGGATGACCCATCAACCAAACCACCAACCAACCCATTAAATTGGTTTTCAACCATCACCCAACCCAAGTAAATTGGGTCGATAACGGTTTCCAATATTTACCAAAGTTGGTTGGATGGGTTGGGTTGGTTTTATGGCTGGTTTTAACCAAACCAACCAACGCACAGCCCTACAATAGAGTATGAAACGGCATTCTCTCTCTCTCTCTCAATTAGTACTTCTAATAAGAAACCCCTTTCCTCTATCTGCAAAAAAAAAAAAAAAATACATATCCCATTAATTAATTTAAATTATTAGAAATATACTTTTTTTAAAATTAATTTCTAGGGTTTATGGGGGCTGGTTTATCTTGTTTGGCAACTGACGATCAGAAATCCGCCATTAATACACCTTCAAAGCTTGGCCTTGGGGACTTGCCAGAAAGCTGTATTGCTCTGATTCTTTCACGTTTAAACCCTAGTGATATTTGTAGAGCGGCACGTGTGAACAGAACATTTCGGCGTGCTTCTTTGTCCGATCATGCGTGGGAAACAAAGTTGCCTGAAAATCACCAGATTCTTCTGCAGAAGCTGTTTATTAGTTGTAATAATAATAATATTAATCCACAGGTTTTGAGCTACAAGGAGACTTACGCCAGATTGAGTTCTCCTATTCGCTTTGCCGCAGACACAAAGGTTAATTAGTACGTAATTTAATTAAGTATAATTAATAGTAGTAATTAATAATAATTAATAATAATATTTGTATGTTAATCAGGAAGTTTGGTTGGACGAGGGTAGAGGTGGAATAAGTGTGGCTATTTCTTGGAAGGGAATGAAAATTACTGGCGTAGATGATCGTAGATACTGGACCCACATCTCAACTCATGAATCTAGGTATAATTAATTAATAATATTTTATGGATTATTTAGCTATTATATATATAATTAAATGTATATCAATTGATTTTCCAATTTCTTGAGTAATGATTTTGTTCCATTTGACAAAAAAGTCCATATAGTAAAGTTGATTTTGTAATTGGCACCACAATCCAAAATATACATCTTTCTCATAATTAGGACCCCATTTTCTTGTAATTGGCCACTGGTCCTGAAATCATTAATGCATGAATAAACATTTTTGTCACACACTAAAAATAATTGATCTAATATGTGCATTATATTGGAATAATAATTACTGGGAATTAAATTCAATTTTATAAATACAGATTTCAGACAATTGCTTATCTCCAGCAAATATGGTGGCTAGAAATAGAAGGCGATTTGGAGTTCGAATTCCCTGTGGGCACGTACAGCGTGTTCTTCAGGTTGCACCTCGGGCGAGCCTCATCGAGTAAAGCTCCGAGCGGCCGACCAATAACATACAACGGGGAGAAGATCCACGGCTGGGATATTAAGCCAGTTAAGTTCCAGCTGGAATCATCATCCGACGGCCAGCATTCGGTGTCTCACCGCTTCTTGGATGAACATGGGAAATGGGTGCACCATCATGTAGGCGATTTTGTTGTAGAGGATTCTAACTCCCCCACAAGGCTCAAGTTCTCAATGACTCAGATTGACTGTACACACACTAAAGGTGGACTGTGTTTTGACTCTGTGTTCATATTCCCCTGCAGACGTTAATTATTAATCCACAAATTAATTGGTTGGATTTTATTTAGGTTAGTTTGTGAATATATATTAGTGAGATTTCCACTTATGGTTATATTTATGAAAGATTTTGTGTAAGATTGACCCGATTGTACGAAATATTTGTGTAAGATACCTTCATACTATTGAAAATCGGCGATTCATTTTCTTTTATATTCTTGTAATACTATTTTATAAAAGTATATTTCGTCTCTAAAGACGGGACTCCACAAGTATTTATTTGAGGATACTAAATTCGAAGTCTTCACAAAACATCTATTTTTTTAATTATTTATTACGAATTCAGAGCCATTGATAATTTCGAATTTAACGGAGATTAGACAATAATATATAAATTGTGATTATCGAAAATTATTGACATAAAAGTCATCTAAAAGTTGTCACAGTTAAGCAATAATTTCTTGAAAGTTGTCATGTTTAGAAACACTATATATAATTCAGTTCTAATTGAATTTATTAGAGATTAGAGGCCCAAAGTTATACCATAACCCAATGGACCCAATCTCGAAATAAAACCATATTTTATTTCTCAATGTTTCTTCCTCCATTTAAAGACATTTTTTAATTAAATAAATACACAAATAATTCCATTTTTATTATCAGCGAATAAATCAAGAAAATGAGCTTTTAACAATTTGAAGGCACATCCATATTTTATTGGATAAGCTTTACCGAAAAAAATAAATAAAGAAAAGGAACTTATTGATATTACTACTTAAATTTTTTATTTCACAAAAATAAATAATAATTAATAATTGGAAATACGTGTAGGCCACAGAGCCAGACTGGTACTTACTTCGTCATTATCCTTTGCAAAAAAATCCCTCACCTTTCTTCTGCTTATTTATATAAAAATAGTCCAAATATTTATTATTATTTATTATTACCCTGAAAAATGCAGATATGTATAAATTGTATAACTTCTTCATCGTTAACTCGATTTCATTTTTCATCGTAATCCAGTTAAACGAGAACGAAGAGAATTTGTTGGATTGCGAACCTCTGCTTTTCTAATTCAGCTTTTCCCCCCTCTGTAGAAGGTGAAATCTCTCTCTCTCTCTCTCTCTCTATTCTCTATTTTATTTGTTGATTTTCAATTAATTTTGAAGAAATTAAGTTATTGCTCAATTTAGTTAATCAAATTTTGGTTTCTCGCTGCTCAATTGTTTTTGTTGTTTGATTGCGATGGACATTGATTTTTTTTTTTTTTTCTGCGTGATAGTCTTAGTTAGGTCTGAGAGGCGCGATTAGGATTCCTCGTTGAACAAATTGGATCGCAGAGGCAAATTTATCAGAGGAAAAATGAAGGGGAGCAGGGATTTTATAGAATGGTTAGGGCAGGACATGTCGCTGAAGATCTTCATGTGTTTGGAGGACCCTTCCGATCTCGTCCGCACGAGTGCCGTTTCGAGTTCCTGGCGTCAGTTTGGTGAGTTTAATCACCTCAACTAGTGTGTTTTTACACCTTTTACTGTGTAATTATAATGAATTTCATGGGGAAAATGAAGGATTGGGCTTTGATTTATATGATGTGCTGATTTCGAATTTTTATTGCACTGTGATACTGCGTGTTTAAGAATTGGCTCCATGTCAATTGTTCCTTGAGAGAGAATTGGATAACATTTCGGCTTGTTTTGAGTTAATTTAGGTTTTGCCTTTTGTTCAAAGTTCAATAGACTGTAGAAACTGTAAAATTGGTTGGAGAAAATGATTCGGGTGTTTTCACTAACTACTATATCTTTGTCAAAGTGATGTTTGTCGAATAGAATCAAAGGTTTCCATCATTCTTGCACTCATATACCGAATTCGATTCTTATGCAGTGATTGCCAACGCCTTATGTAAGAAACTTTGTCTACGGAAGTTTCCCGAGGCATCAAGCTTTGCTCGTGTTGTCGAAATAAAAAACACGGCCGAATCTGTGTCAACTTCGACGAGAGATGATTCTGCAAAATCGGCCTGTCTGGAGAGGGAACACAGAGTTTATGCATCATTAAGTAGAGTACTCACCACTTCGACAGTAGAAAATTGCATATCTGGTGCTATATGTGCATCGAGCACTGATAATTATCCAGAAGAGAGCATCAAGAACACACTGGAACCAAGTGATAGGGTTGACCACAGAGCGTCGTATTGGTCAAGCAAGGGCGAAAGGAATCCTTCTGCTGGAGAGACGTTGATTTATAAATTGGCTTCAAATCTGTGCCTGATCACTGAGTTACATGTGCATCCATTTCAAGGTTGTGTTCTTAGACCAGTGTTTAAAAATTATAATGTTTCATCCACTGTGTGTTGCCTCTAACTGACCCCAAATTTTTGCTTTGGAACAGCGTATTTTCAGTTCGGCTTCCCTATATATTCTGCCAAGGCTGTAAGATTTCAGATTGGCCACCCCAGAGTTCCTCCGAAGATAGAAAGTGACGAGAGAGATGAACTTCTCGATTTTCAGAATTTTGCTGATGAGAAATTTGTATGGACGTACAAGTCCCCAGAATTCCCAATGGTTCAGGTGAATTTCTTCAGAACTGTATCGTTCTTGAACTTTCGATAAATGGTTCTCGATAATGTTGTCTTTAATTATTTGTTATTGTTACTATTATTTTTTTTTAAATTTAGGATTGCCCTATTTCTTCTTCTTACCTCATTAATCGATGGAATACAGGATAACTGCTTGCAAAAGTTTAAGCTACCAGAACCTGTTCTTAGCATAGGAGGAGTCTTGAAAGTGGAACTATTGGGCAGAACACAGACTCAGGAAATGGATGGACTATACTATATATGGTAACCCATTTTTATCCTCCGTATCTCTTTTAATGATCTCGTAACAAAAGAATGATTTGAAAAATTGTGGTACGAGGAGCTTTTAGAAGCCAAGATTACTAACAAGCAGACAAGGTTATTTTTTTTCCGTCTCATTTTAAACAATGGTGTAATGCTTTGTGACACAGCATCAACCATGTTCAAGTTGTTGGAAGTCCACTATCTCCAGCATTTGATGTAGAGATGATCGATGAAAGGGGAAAATGCACGTTGAAGTACCACCCTGGAAGTATCTGCAAATCTTCGACTTCAGAAGTGGAGTCACACAGGTTTATTGAAAGTATAAGGACTTGGGAGCAAATAATACTTAATACGTTTCGTGGGGCGGGACCAATGATCATAGACGATAATGATTCTGATTACGAATACCTTGATTAGATCCTCCAATCCTCCCAGTTTTCTCCGAGTGGTCACCAATTTCTTCCTCCCTTCCAAGTAATTTTTTTTTGTATTTCATACAAGTTAAGCCGGATTGTGCTAGTAAAGGATACTTCAAGATAGAACTCTAATTGGCCGTTTGTAACTGGATTGATTTTTTCTTTAAATTTCTCCAGTCCATTTGACTAAAATCTTCTGTCAGTGTCATCATCATCACGAATAATGTAATTTGTAAAATAATTTGTTAAAACAAAATCATAACAATAGACAACTAATTTATATTGGATGGGCTTTCTCCAAGTTTTGGGCCACTTGAGCCTTGATTTTGTAGCTATTGAGCTAGTTGTATTTTCGTGTGATTGGATATGAGATGAAACTAATTAAGTTAATATCAACGCTGACAAATTAAGCTATGGTATAGGGGAAATTACAATTTTTACCCCTTAAGTCTACACTTGTAGACTTAATATTTGGTCCTCCATTTTTATAAAAATCGTATTTGGTCCCTCATGTTTCAATAATTTAATATTTTTTGTCATTTTTATCAATTTAACGTCAATTCATCAGTTAAGGCAATGATGATCACATGATTAATTCCATTAGTACTAACGGGAAGTTGACGGAAATGACTAAAAATGCTGAATTTTTAAAATATGAAGGATCAAATGTAATATTTTTGAATATGAATGGCTAAATGTGAAATTAGTACACACTTGAGGGATGAATATATTATTGTACATAGCTGGATAATAATACGATTTTTTCCTTTAAAAAAAGGGTAAATTACAACCACTCCTGAAGTATGGTCAAATTACAAACGCCCTCTTGTTTGGATAATTACAACCACCCCTCAACTCCTCAAATTTCGTAGAATCTTCGAGATTATATGAAATTTTAACACTTTTGTACCCGTTTTATCCCATTCGAACTCTACATTTTGAAGCAAGATGATCATAATATGTGTTTTTTAGCTTGCATATATCATATTGTAGTGCATCAGACACTGTAGTTTTACATAAAACGAGGACAAACTAGAGCACATTCCGTGAAATCTAGATGATTATGTTGAATTTGACACCATAAGGGTGTAGGTGTGAGAAAAAAACATAATTAAGGAGTAGATATAATTATCCAAACAAGAGGGATATTTTTTATAATTTGACCATACCTCAGGGATGTTAATTACACTTAAAAAAACAAGCAAGTATGCGTAGTGCGTACTGCGTACTGCTCCGTTCAGTAAAAGATCCCTACATTTACTAATTCCAAATTTCTGAAAAATAGGGTTTAGTTACTATTTTATGCTCTTCTCTATTTGGCGACGACTCCCAATCTCTCTCCCCCGTCCTGCGCCGCATTGCTATTTCCGCCACCGCCGCCTGTCCTTGTTCGCGATGGGAGACTCTCCCGCCGGCAGTAAGCCTAAGGCTAAACCTAACCAAACCTCTGCTCCACCGGCCTTCGTCAAAGATGAAGATTATCTTCAGCGTGTCGTTCCCAAACGGATAGCGATGTTCGAAACAATCTTAAATGAACAAACCCTCAGTCGCCTCCAGCTTTCTCCCGACCCAATCAAGTAATCGCCGTCATCTATTTCATTTATTTATCTTTCACTTGTTATTAGAAGTTAATTCTTAATTTTTTTTTTCCTAATTTCGTTGTAATAGGATTACGTTGCCGGATGGGAATGTGAAGGAAGGCAAAAAATGGAACACGACGCCGCTCGATGTGGCGAAAGAGATATCAAAGAGCTTGGCCGCGAACGCTCTGATTGCGAAGGTGGATGGGGTTTTATGGGATATGTCTCGGCCTTTTGAAGGAGATTGCAAGCTAGAGCTGTTTAACTTTGATACGGATGAAGGCCGCGATACCTTCTGGCATTCGAGTGCGCACATTCTCGGCGAGGTAACATAGTATTAACATTAGGATGGGGGTTTTCAGTACAAATTATGATTATGTTTGATGTGAATAGTTTTTAGTTTTTTTTTTTTAAAATTGTGTTTGGGATTTTCCAGTCATTGGAGCAGGCATATGGATGCCGATTATGCATTGGGCCGTGCACCACAAGAGGGGATGTGAGTTTCTGACCATTTTGATTGCCTATGCGTAAATTGATTATTTCTTTTCTATATCTATTAGAATGATATCTCATGTTAACCTGTTTTTCTTTCTTTCTTAAATTGTATGCAATAATTGGCTGTATCAGTTGAAGGGTTTTTACTATGATGGATTTTATGGTGACCTGGGATTGAATGAGGATCATTTCAAACACATTGAGGCGGCTGCAAAGAAAGCTGTTGATGTATGGTTTCTATTCTGTGAAATTTTAGTACATCCTAGCTTCTGTTTGTTTTACATGCTGTTGCATTTTACATTTGAAGAGTTGGTTCCCCTTCCCCTCCTCAGTTTCATTCTTTTAATTTTAGCCCTATATTGATTGTTTTATTACTGATCCTTTTGCATTAGGAAAAACAAAGTTTCCAGCGCATTGAAGTCACAAGGAATCAGGCCCTTGACATATTTTCAGAAAATCATTTCAAGGTCAATAAGTTTAAAATTAGCTATTTATCTGTGTAGTACTTTTATGTTTAATGGAAATATATTTACAATATTTCGCAAGACTTTAACTGTATCTTCCCCCCTGTTTTTATTAGGTCGAGATTATTAACGACTTACCAGAGGATGCAACTATCACAGTGTACAGATGTGGTCCGTTAGTTGATCTATGTCGCGGACCACATATACCAAATTCTTCCTTTATTAAAGCATTTAGCTGTTTGAAGGTGAGATCAGTTAAACTTTGGAGTAAATACTGCATTCAATGCAAAATTTAATTCAGTCTATTTGTAAAATTAGGCTTCATCTGCTTATTGGCGAGCAAAAAAAGAGCGTGAAAGCTTGCAAAGAGTTTATGGCATATCCTTCCCAGATCAAAAACGATTGAAGGTGAATTCTGAATTCTATTTAGTCCATCATAGATGGAGTATCATAAGTAGCTGATATTTGTATTTCAGCTTTCTCAGCTATCTTGATAAGCTTATTGGTAATCCTTGCAGGAATACAAGGCCATGCTGGAAGAAGCTAAGAAATATGACCACAGAGAACTGACAAAAAAACAAGAGCTTTTCTTTTTTCACCCTCTGAGGTAAAAGTTTGAACTGCATTACAATTTTCAGCTCAATTCATGATTCTATTTTGATATTTTGTATTCAATTTAGCCCCGGAAGCTGTTTTTTCTTACCTCATGGTGCTCGAGTTTGCAACAAATTGCTGGAATTTATAAGGAGTCAGTACTGGAAGAGAGGTTATGAAGAGGTAAAGTAGAACTAGCTTTATTTGTAACAAAAGCTGCATATGAATACTTTATGCAAGTTTCTCACGTAACAACAACCTGCTTATTGATTTTGAAGGTGTGGAGTCCAAATATGTACAATATGCAGCTATGGGAAACGTCTGGCCATGCTGCTAACTATAAGGAGAATATGTTTGTGTTTGAGGTTAGATGAAGTCATTAGGAAGATGGATTAACCGTTATAAAGTATTTGTGTGTTATTTCATTCTTACATAGTGATTAGGGTGAACATATTGATTTGGTTTGTCCGCTACTTTTAATGGTCTTTCTGGATTCTACTACAGGTGGATAAACAAGAATTTGGACTCAAACCAATGAACTGCCCTGGTCATTGTTTAATATTTGATCATAGAGTCCGTTCATATCGAGGTAATCCACAATCCTCCTTTGTTATCCTTTCACATCTCTTTCAATAGCATATGCATGAGTTTGTAACCTTCTCAATATTTATTCGAACCTGTTGTGTATATTTGTGTTAAAAGATAAGCTTGCGTCTAAATATTTTTAATTTGCATCTTATACATAAAGAAACACGTCATGTAACTGTCTTGCTAATGTATCCGGTGCCTTTTGTGTGAAGATCTTTGCAGCAGTTCATATTGTAATGAAAATATATAAGCTGATAGACACTCCATTTTGCAGAACTTCCACTTCGCCTGGCTGATTTCGGGGTACTGCATCGGAATGAATTAAGTGGTGCACTTTCTGGGTTGACTCGTGTCAGGAGATTTCAGCAGGTATTTAAGAACATATGAATTTGCTAATCCAGCTTACCCATGAATTGTGCTATAGCTAGTACTAGTATATAGATAGATTCCACTAGTTACTTTTGTGACTGGTTCAGACCAGGATATATCTGACATTAGTATCTTTGTACAGGATGATGCTCATATCTTCTGCAAAGAATCCCAGGTAAGATGAATTTTCTGGTTTAATTGTGGTTTTCTAATTTCTTCACTTTTTGTCCCCCCAAAAAAAGAGAAAAATCTTCACCTTTTGTTATTATTTTTTGATCTCATCTGCCTTTTACAGATTAAAGATGAAATCAAGGGTGTTTTAGAATTCATCAGTTACGTGTACAAAGTATTTGGCTTCACTTTTGACCTGAAGTTATCGACGGTATTGAGTCTTACCTCTTCTTAGCGGACAAACTGTTCCTTTTCTTTCTTGTGCATATTGACGAGTTACAGTATGCTGATAAATTGGGTTTTAAGTTGAATCAACTACCAGTAATATAATAATGTTAAGGGTTATTTGTTCATATAATCGTATTCTTCACTCTGTCTATCTCCATGCCAATGAAGATTTTTCCCCAAAAAGAACTGATAGATGAGAAGATGAATAGGAACTTCAGAAAAATGGTCCCAAGCACACGTAATCCATAACTTTATGTACATGTAAAGCCTGACTATTGTGGCTATTGAAGTAGAAAATATCCTTATTTTGATTTTCAGAGACCAGAGAAATATCTTGGAGACATAGTGACATGGGATAAGGCAGAAGCTGCTCTTGAAGAGGCACTAAATGAGTTTGGGAAGCCCTGGAAGGTAGTTTGACTCATGTTTGTTGATATTGCTCAGTTCAGTTGTCACAGTTTGTACCAAATAATGATTTTATGGAATTTATTTATGTTTTAGATTTTAATTATATATGTTGCAACGGTCATTCTCTTTTTAATTTTCTTTAATTAAAAAAAAAAAACTGATTTCATAACCTCTATTAGATAAATGAGGCCGATGGAGCATTTTACGGGCCAAAGATTGACATCACTGTTTTTGATGCAATGGGAAGAGACTTTCAATGTGCAACTTTGCAGGTATATTTTTCTACTTTTTTCCTTATTTTATCAAGTCAGTAAATTGATAAATGAGGGTTTTTTGTGATGTTACTTCTCTAGCATCGAGTGTATGCTGCCCCAAGTCATATATACAATGCATTAATAAAGATTAAAGTACTCCTAATTTGAGAATAATAGTATTGAAAAATGAAAAATAAAATAAAATAGTTGTGAAGCAAGATCTGGATAGTTGGTCAGAAGAATATGACACAGAAAACAATTATTTGTCTAAGGAAAACTATAGGTTTCAAGAAGAGACTAACTTGTTGCAGGCTTGGATCCACCAGATTGTGATAGGATGTTTGATTGACATAAAGGTTGTTATAGGAATTACTTTTTAAGGTTGTGATAGGCTGGATCTTAATTTTAAGGTTGTTATAGGAATTCTCTAGTATACGTCTCAAGCATGCAGTTGTTTTCTGCAAGTGCTGATCGTTTCTTAAGTAATTTATTGTTTCAGTTGGACTTCCAATTGCCTGCTCGATTCAACCTCTCCTACTCAGCCGAAGATGAAACGAAGAGAGAGAGGCCAGTCATGATTCACAGAGCTGTTTTGGGCTCTGTAGAAAGAATGTTCGCGATACTTTTGGAGCACTACAAAGGCAAATGGCCTTTTTGGCTGAGTCCCCGCCAAGCAATAGTTTGTCCAGTTTCTGAGAAGTCGCAACAATATGCACTAGAGGTACGGTTTTATGAACATGATATGCGAGTTATTAATAAGATCTGGAGCTTATATAGTAGTTGTTTAGTTCCTTTTATTTTGTATCACGGTTCGTGGTGTACAGACTACAATCAATGCCTGTCTTTCGTTGTTTGCATTATATTCTAAATCATGACTCGTACTTTTATGGAGCCACTGGCTTTCTACTATCATTCTGCTTAGGTTATAACTTGTAAGTTGAAAACTTAATGTTTGGTTACCTAGAGGAAATTATTCCGCACTCTGTGGTTATCAAGACACTTTTCAGCAACCTATGTGGTGGGTTTTATGCCATTATTTATCTCCCTGCACACTTGCAGCTAAAATTGTGGGTGATTGAAGATACTTAATATTTTACTATTTTGACCCATTGACAGTTTTATATTCATGAATACCTTTTTAATCTTGTTAGGATACTTCCTAAATGGTCACATTGTTTCTCAATGTAGGTACGGGATCGCATACATGATGCTGGATTTTATGTTGATGTTGACACGACAGACAGAACAATTAATAAAAAGGTGTGTAGAGCTGCTCCCTATCTCTGTCATCCACGATGGCAATTCATTCCATTTTCGTGATGTTGAACTTGGTATAATACTAACTGGTGGGTTATGAAATGCTTATAGGTACGGGAAGCTCAAATGGCACAGTACAACTATATATTAGTTGTTGGAGAGAAAGAAGTTGGAACAGGACAGGTGAGATTTACCTTACAGTTAAAAATTGATGGCAACAATATATGCTTTTGAAATCCTATTGGATGGCGATCTTATGGGCTTTTTATGGTTCCAGGTTGCTGTGCGAGTTAGAGACATCAATGATGCTAACCTCCAGAGCATTGATGATGTTTTGAACCGTTTCAAGGATGAAACTGCTTCCTTTAAGTAGCATGCATGCTTTAGTATCTACTCGATCGGCATAGGTGTGTTCTCAAGTCGGTTGTGTGTCATTTTTGAACTGTCCAAACATTTGAAAGAAAAAATAGAAGAGAATTATTTAAATAGTTTCGATTGAGTTTGAGCTAATACTGTTGGCATAGTTACTACCATAACACGTCTGCGTTTTTTAGGTGCTTTTCCATGATTATTCATTTAATGTTTTGCATCTGGTTAAAATGCTGCTTTGTGTACCGCAATATTTTGCCATGACATTGTGGGAAGATGTCAAATTATTGTTACAGGCAGACTTCGTGCCAATGGTTGCAATTACCTTCTAGATTTTCTTTTGTGAGATGTCTATTACTTAAAAATGTGGCAGTGGTGTCATGAGAGTAAAAGCTTATTGAGAACACTTTGGATCTTAAACCCATGGCTATGGCAATTGATTAGGATTGAGCTTCTAAATTAATATTTACAAATGATCATCTAGTCTTAGCGTAATGTAAGCCAACTCAAGTTTCTTGACTATAAAAGTTCGTAGTATTCGAACTCATTAGCAAACTAATACAATTTAACTGAGCAATTAGTCCACGTTCAAATTACAGCAGGGAGAAAAGCAATACCACACCCCGAATTCAAAAAGAGCAAATTCAAGATCCTAAATACCATCTAAATAGATTACAATTACAAGACCTTTCAAGAACGGAACCCCACGAGTAAAAGAAGAGGTAACAACAAACAACAACTATAGTCCTATTGAACATTCAAGCTGGCTGCTCGATAATCTGGCAACAGCTAATAAAAGTGAGAGGTAAATTAAAGCACAACCTATACAGAAACACATTCAGATTCCACTGCCACTCCATACAACATACATAGCTCAACACACCGTTTACTCATTTCATGGCTTCCAGCTGAAGTTCATATTGTCATCTAGATCGTTGTTAAAAAACCCGTTCTCCGCAAATTCATGGGCAACATCCGAAACGAACTCATCAGATAACTGAAGATTATCGGACAGATCCGATGATTTTTGGCCGAATCCAACATTGCCAGCTTGCGCTGGGGATTCACCATTAGAAGCAGTTTTGAAACTATTGCTTCTACTAGGGGGGTGGTACCCCGCACCATTCCCCGTCTCCTTTCCGGCACTAGTCATTGCCTGAGAAGCCCTATAGCCAAGACCACCACCATCATTGGACATACTCCCACCACCACCACCACCACCACCACCACCACCACCACCACCACCACCTTGATGATTCTGTTGCACAGGCACTGTCCCGTTTTTCTTATTTGTCATATCCTGCAGCAATTGATGGATCATTTGTTGCTGCAATGCTTGGCTGCTGCCACCGCTGCTGCCACCCTGAGCTTGATTTTGCTGTAAGAGACCATTCCGTGTCGGTGAATGCTGCTGTTGCTGTACTTGAGAAGCTTGGCCGCTCACCGGAGAATTATGCTGCAAAGTGCCTGGAGTGTTATTGAAGGGAGAAGATGGTTCTTGCTGCTGAGGGTTTGAGTTCATGGAGCTTTGTCTCATTAGCAAATTCTGGTAGTTGGACAAAGCACGAGCTGCCTGAGCTGTCCCATTCACAGCAACTCCTCCTCCTCGGCCGACCAGATGTTGTTGGTTATTATTATTATTATTGTTATTATTACTATTATTATTGTTACTATTATTATTATTGTTGTTGTTGATTGAACCATTGAGACCAGGATGCAATGCCATTAGCTTGTTCAGAGTGCTTCGATCATCAGGTGGGCCACCACCACCACCCTGCTCCACTTCTTGCATCTTTTGCATGTGACTTTTGGTTGCAGACGGGTGTCGGGGGAAGTTCTTCAATCCCTCTGCAGAAAATAAATGAATGGTATTAAAGTGCTTCAATGATGACCGACAAATGAGTCAATGTTATTTTGCTTCTTTGTTCTGAAAGCTTAAAAGGAGAGAGGTGGTGAGAGATCATTACCAATAGCACCAATTTTCTGTTCTGTGCTGAAATCCATCAGGTCTTTCATGCTATTCACAACTTCGGCTATCTATTGGCAAATATGAGAAACCTCAAAAAAGAAAAAAAAAATAGAAAAAAAAAAGAAGCAATTTTAACTATTATAAACTACTAAAGACTTGGACGTACCTGTAGGCATCGCACATATCTTTTGGAAAAGCCCAAATCATTTAGCGACTGTAACTCCAAACTCCTAGCAAGCTGACGTCCAGCTGTTACGACCCTGAAATAGAATAGACATTCATAAAAGAATGTAGGTAAGACCACATATGGGTTCGTAGACCAACAGAAGCAATTTAAAGAAGCTTTAACAAAAATTAAGCATCAAATAACTACAGCCAACTTCTGAACACTACAAACTTGTAGTTAGCACATGTCGAAAATGGAACTAACACGAACAAAAAAAGTAGTGAACAAAGTCTATCCTGGCTAACACAAGTAGGTCTTGAACATACTCCTCTACTTAACCTACAGGCATGAGGAATCACCTATCTATGGCTCTGTATTACCAGGCTGAGCTAAATATGAACATCCTGAATCTTCATAGAAGAATTGGAGATTGGTGGGGAGTAGAAATTTTCGGATGACTTGTCAAATTAAATTTCTTTTCCTAATCCTATGAAGACATATATGTGGTTCTCAGTCAGATTTGAACATAACGCTAGAGCTTTAAGCATCAAACAATGAATAATGAGAACATAATGCATCAGGTGAACGGCAGTGTCAAATTTGATCTGGGACTAAACTAAAAAAAATATATATCAAGAAATAAAAAATATATAAATTTTCACTCACATTGCACTGTTTGCCTGCAAGTCTGGTTGGGAAATGCCATCAGGTCCACTTTCAGATATTGTGCTTTGGCATTTCTGTGCGACCTGTAGTAATTGATTCACCTGCAGTACAAGGGCATCATATAAGTTCTATCTTTAAAATTTATCCACATACTTACTGCCCATTTTACTTTTGGGTTTTTCGAATTTTCCAGTATTAAAACTATTTTCACCAAGTTTTCATGTAAAAATGAAAAATACGTTCAGATTAATTGTGTCTCCATGTGGAATGTGGATTGTAAAGGTTTGGCATTGAACATTTGTTAGGTTTATGGTTTTCTGGCATAAAAGGCGTCGAAATTTAGTAGATTTAACAATATATCCTGTAGGTGCAACGACACCAAACAGCACATATTTAAATTTTAATTACGACAATAATCGAATTTAAGAGCTCAGCAAGTGTACCTGTGGTGCAACTAATCTACGAGGAAGAAGTTCTTCATGACGCCTCGCACAAAATTCCCAAGATAATATCTACAAAAGTTTGAGATGCAAGAGTTAAATATCAGTATGAGTAGCTAAACCTAACCATACTTCCAAGTGAACAAGTTTTCACAGTCCACCTTTAAATCAGGGGTGAACATGATACGGAGCTGACCCTCACGAACCACACGGAGTTGCTCATAAACACTTTCTTGAACTGCCTTTGCATACTCCAGCATCATCATTCCAGAAGGGAATCGGCATTCACGAGGCAAGTCCAGAAACAGAAGCTCGTCGATAACACCACTACCAAATTTTATTTCGTTTAGTCTGGGGAGCACTTCAAAAGTTGCTTCTGTTAAACGAAAAAAAAGAAATTGTGAAAATTATAGAGCACATAAATACAAGTCAAAGTTCTCTACAAAGTTCAGCTTGAATATACAAAGTTAGAGGGCTGACATTTCTATGAGTGTATGGCACTTCATTATTAACCAATATATAATATTATGGGAAGTAATAATATGAATTCAATTCAGATCATCCCCTTCCCGGCCAAGAAAGAAGAAACCCAACAAAAAAAGAACAGAAAAATAGGTAAAAAATCATAGAAAATAGTAAGAGAGTTGTAAATTCCAAGCCCAAAATATCAAGAGGTCAACTCTGAGGCAACGAAAGACAGGCAGGCAGGTGTACGAATTATCAAGACTTAAAATTCCAAATCTGTTTGAAATCTTGGTGTCATTTACAGAGTCTAGCCTTAAAATTCTCTTATCATGCTTCACACTTTGAAGACTCGCACAAGCATGGAAAGGAAAACATGTTAAAGAGCATTTACATCACAGCTGACGGCTCAGGGAGTACCTCAGTCAGAAGTTATTACCAAAATCCTTCAAATAAGAACATGGAACATGAAGAGCAAGAAACACATCCTTGGATAATGGAGTTGACCAACCAAGTAAATATGCTTCAATTTTTTTTTCCAAGTCATCTGTCAACTTAAAACTCGTCCGATCATGAAATTCCATTCTAGACCCTCCAGAATTTCTTTGAGTCTATTAACCGGTGTAGGTACAGAAACAACATTAAATAATATGAGGACTGTGACAGGGTGATATGACTTATTGTATAACGAGCATAGTTATCTTCAACAGCTTAGTTCAACAAGTAAAATGCCACTTAAAAAATGAACTGGTTCACACCACAAATGCAAAAAATAAGGCACAGTGACATATAATTTAAGATAAAGCTTACCAAATCCCCTCCCAGATTTTGAACCACAAATTTCACACTGCCATGCATCCTGCACAAGAAGTAAAAAACACCAATATCAAATTTATGCTTCTAAAAAATGCCAGCTTAGGGAAAATCAAGATTACAAGAAGTGGATCAACTAGCATAAATTCCTGGAAAGAAAGCTATCAAAACCATTTTATTACAAGACAGAAGATCAAGTCGAAGTACATATGCTTGGTAAACTAATATGTGACCCAAGAAAATTACCATTGCTGCTTGAGGGAATACCCCTAGTGAATGATGCCCAACATTATCGTATAAGGATAAACACCACCTCTTCTTTGCACGTGGGGAGTAATACTCGGCCACAAATTTTCTCCAATACGCAATAGTATTGTCCTGGCAAGTGAAAGGCAACTAGAGAATAAAACATACTTATATAGACAACACACCAGCTGCATTGTAAGTATAAATAACATGATTAAGCAAGATGGTAATCGAACATATTTATTTTACGAGATCATGCAAAATACTATCAGATTACTTACAGCGGGTCGCTGCCTCTGATGATAAAGGTACTGCATTAGTCGACGTGAGCAAACACCACCATCGTACGGACGCTTCATTCCCGAGGCAGGCTGCATGCTCTGGCAGCTCTGCTGCTGTAAAAGCTGCTGTCTCAACTGCTGTTGTTGTTGCTGCAGCTGCTGCTGCTGCAGCAGCTGAGCTCTCTGCATAGGCGGCATAGACTGAAGAAGCTGTTGCTGTTGCTGCTGTTGTTGCTGTTGCTGCCTTAGTCTTTGTTGATGAACTAATGCTTGAAACTGCGGATTGGAGTTCTGTAAGTGCATGGGATCTTGTCTTTGCAAAAGCTGCTGCAAAACATGCTGTTGTAAAATATCTTCCTGCTTGATATCCAATCGGGGTTTCTTTTGTAGCTGAGATATGGAAGTTGGATCCTGAATGAAAGAATTAGGAACCCTAGGACCACCAGGGATCTGAACTTGCCCCATCCGTGATCCAGGCAATGATGTGGCACTTGAAGCTCCCTGATGCTGCTGACTATGGTGAGGTTGCGACCCTTCTTGATTGGAGTTTTGCTGCATCGCAGAGGATCCATCCATGACTGAAGAACCAGAGATACTAACGTTATTAGATGTGAATGACATGGGTGAGGCAGGCAAGCGCATGTAAGATTCTGTATTGAAACTAGCACTTCTCTGCATGTGAGGACCTCCTCCTGAAAGACCTGAGTTGGCATCCGTGACCAAAGAACTTGCTCCAACACTAGGTCCGGAGGTAGCTACACTATTCAAGACTGCGTTATTGATGTCCCCCGAGAGCGGGCCCATGTTGGCCCGTGAATTTCCGGGTAATGAATGCGACGAGTTTACAAAATTTGAACCCAACTGAGAATTTCCTGCAATCTGGGATCGCCCGTCTCCTTGGAAAAATATACCTGAACTTGAAGATGATTGTGCCATACCTCCAACCACCCGCGAAGGCACCATTGGAAGAACCTATGCTCAACGGCTGGGATGCAAATGGCTATGAAGTACCAAACCCTTTTGGTAGTACGGGATACTGTACAGAAGAAAAAAACAAGCTAGCTAAAGTGGAAAAAAACATTGTAGCTTCATCCACATTCCTCTTGAAATAGATCTGGGAAGCACTAATCAACACAATAATACATCTATTTGTTCACCAGTGCCTTCTTCCACACCCAGTTATTCTTCAATGGAGCAAAACAGAAGTCCAAAATGAACAATCGTTTGGATTCTGTCAGGAATAATACAAGTGAAAATTATCAGCAAGTAACCGAATCGAGCTAATTAATTAACAATACACCGGATTAAAAAACAGAAACAAAACCCAGACAGCAAATCACACTTTCGAAAAGCAAATCAACTAGGGAAATACCCTCACTGCAATTCACTTCGAAATCCCCAAATATCTACAAAACCCTAATTCACGACCACCAAGATTAAACCTAAAACGAATATTGCACAAATCTTTAGCAAGTACGAAGCTGAAGTAAATAAAGCATCCGACGAATCAAAGAATCTCCTGAAATATAACTAACGAAAAAAAACCCAGAAAACCCCAATTCGATTGCAGCCTCGAGATACAAATAAAACAAAGCGATCAAAACGAATCACTGTAATCGAGCAAATCTCCTTACCTAAAGTGAATTTGCAGTAAATAAACTAGTATTGAGTTCCTAATTGTAAAATGACGCTAAACACCCATTAATTACAATCGAAGATCAAAAACTCACAATTCCCACTAAAGCAACATGGAGGGAAAGAGAATCAAGGCTTCGAGCTTCAAAACATCATTTCGAACAGCAGAGTGTAGAAATTGAAGCTCTAATTGAAGATATTTAATTTGAAAAACAAAAAAAGAAGATATAAATTAGTGTAAGGTAACCCTGGAAATGTAGAGAGTAATCAGAAAGAATTTTTGCAGAAGGAAAGAAAAGGAGAAATTTTCGCCTGCTGGTCGGTGTTTATATACCTAGCGGGAGTAAAGAGAGGGTAAGCCACCGGCTACAGCGGGTGAAGGATAGCAAGTGACCGGAAACAGGCGGTGAGGCTAGGGAAACGTGTCAATCGATTGTTTGGTGTGTGGAGTCGGTGCAAGATCTCACGGTGGCGACGCGAGCTCGTTGGGGTTGACGGGCTACGTGGCACAATCTGATTCGAGAAGGGGTAGGTCTCACTTTTATCTCTCTCTCTCTCTCTCCTGAGTTAGGCTGCCTTCAAAAAGCAGTGAAATTAATTAATTAATTAATAGGTCTCAGTAGTCAGTACCACAAATATTTTTCTTCTTTCTACACTTAAAATTAAAATAAAACATATAAATTCGTTAGTCTTATCAAATCATTTATTTAAAATAAGGTTTTATTTTAATATGACGTCGTATTAGACATATTTTGACTATAACTTGTCTTCAAAAGCCAACTCAAAAAGACTTCGTAAATTAAGATGTATGTTAATTCTCAAATTAAAAGTAGTGAACGAGTTAGTCCAGTGTTTTAACTTTCCTGAAATATAAATTAGATTATGGATTAAACGGTTATTAATTATTGAGTATGCACTAATCTACTAATACATTGTCTCAGTGTTTATTTTCTTGCTTAATTCCATTGCGATGCATGCTATGTTAAGTGTTATCGCACTTTACATAACATCTATATTTTAATTATTTATTACGAATTTGGAACGATTGATTCTTTCGATGAGAAATTAGTAGTCGTGTATAATATATATATTTCTTTACGAATTCGATCTGGATATGTATAAATTAAAGAACAACTTAAAAATAAAAAAAGACACTGTTTGGGCTGGCTGTAGTCTCGTGCAATGTATATATATTTAGACGGAACTGTGTGTGTTTGACATGGTACAGCAACCCAAATGCACATGTTATGCATCATTAGTTAGTTTCATTTCCCATAAAATTTGCTTTGTTAATTTAATAATAATAATCTAATATAATTATTAATTTGTGTTGTGATCATGTCGGTGGAGAAGGGATCGGAGGGGAGATTGTTACGTTCATGGAAAACAGACACACGTGTGTCACTTGCATTCGGCACGTGTGGGTGTGTTGTTGCAGCAACCTCGTATGATCTTACAAAGAACATGTCAGTTAGATATCAAGTTCCTGCACAAATTGAATTACTACACGAGCTAGAGAAGCTGTTAATTATGTTGTCAATGCCCCTGCAGAAAAAAAAAAAAAAAGGAAGAAATGGCACGAGCACAGCACGTGACTGAAAATGACCGTTCTTTCTCCATTTTATGATGTAATAATTTATTTCTTTTTTTCTTTTCTCAATTATCTCTCAAACAACAAAACCGGAAAAAAATGAGCCTCACCACGGCCGCCGCCGCCGTGACGCTAAATCCGTTAACCCCGTCTGCATCTCGCGCCAAATACAAACTTCCGTCCAAATTCACCGTCAAGAAACCGTCATCGGCCGCTGTAATTCGCTGCTCACAGGACACCAATCCCCAACAACAGCTCAACCTCTCAGTTCTTCGATTCACCCTAGGTGTGTATATATATATATATATATATATATATATATATATATTCTGTTCGATTTTTTTCCTTCACTTGTTTTTAATTCCTTCTGTGCAACGATTTGTAAAAAAAAAAAATTACTTCTTTGATTTCGTTAGGGATACCTGGGTTGGACGAATCTTACCTACCCAGATACATCGGGTATGGATTCGGGGCGCTTTTAGTGCTGAATCATTTCGTGGGTTCGGATTCTTCATCCATAAATCCGCCCCAGCTTGTAAATGGATCCTTTGCTGAAATGGGTTTATCTTAATTCTTGTCTTAATACTAAGATTCTCAAATATTGTGTTTTTCTTGGTATTTTTGTAGAGAACAGAGGCATTAGGGCTTTCTTTGGCTGCATTTTCTGCAATTGTTCCCTATCTTGGGAAATTTCTCAAGGTAATAATTGTTTTCCCCTATTTGAGCTTTTGGCACAGAATGTAGTAATAATTGGTTTTATGTAATGTAGCTTGTCTTAATATTGTTAAGAATACAACTCGTGTAGTAACTTTTGGAAGAAATGTTCGAATATAAAGTGCGGTTTTATAACAAGTATTGAACGTAGCAGCCCGTATAAAATTTTTACACTTGTCCGTGCAGGGTGCACCTCCGACCGATCGGAAAAGTATTCCGAAAGGTTCCGAGCAAATCTTTGCCATGTCACAGGATATTGCCACTGATGCAAAGGAAGATTTGGCTTGGGGAACTTATGTTCTGTTGCGAAATACGAACTCGATATCAGTGGTCTGCCGCTATTTTAAATCCCTCGACTATCGCATATTGATTTTCTTTTTTTGGATTTTTTTTAACTCTGTTGTAATGTGGTTGTAGCTTGTTTCAGTTGGAGATGTGATATGCGTGCGTGGCTATTGGAATACACCCAAAGCCTTATCGAAAGAAGATATTCCCGATTGGTTCACAAAGCAGAGTCAAATGGTAGGGTTCTCCAACTTGACGGATACAATGTATTTGCAACAGGCTGCTGCAGGTATATACGAAATATATTGACTTAAAAATACGCAAGACGGTATTTTTCCAACTGAAAATCATTTCTGATACGTTATTTCACTGTGATATTTTATGAATAGTTTAGGCTCTGAACTGAAGGAGATGTTACCGAAGGGGACCAAGTCTCTCCTTGTCCAACCTATTCCGAGAGATCCGAAGGTAAGCACAAGTCCAATAGATGAAAAAAACGAGGGTTTTGTCCTGTTGGCTTCGAGCATTGATTATGCGTATACTGATAAAGACAAAGCATGGATAGCTGCCATTGCAAACAAATTTCGAGGTAGAAACGAGCCCTGATATTTATCGTATCCACATGATTTTTGATGCCATTGTTTATGATATTATGGACCCTTCTTTTATATGATATCATCAAATAGCTTCGGTGACAAATATGTTTGCCCGACTATGTATAAATAACCGTTTTTTATTTTCCTTAGTCATCAACTTCGCAAAAAACGGGGGGAGTAAAATGGAGGTTATCTTATAGGCTCCTAATGTGGAGATTATTTCATGCAATTTTACGAGGTCATTGAGATTTTCATTTGAGACATAGGTGTATATACAATAGAACCTTCTTTTTTGTCTACTAGATGATTCATACGATGAAGCAATAAATCTGAGTATCTAAATTTACACCATAGTGTTTCTTTCATTGCGTATTTGCATACGATCATTAACGGTAAAAATTGTTTCATATTTCCTCGAAAGACTATTTATTACAAGAAAGATATGTTGTTTTTCCACTGTGGTGTAGGAACAAAATGAAGTTCATCGGTGCTTGTCTCTTACAAGAACTTCTCCAAACCGAACACCAGATTCTGCAAAAGCCCATCAAGAAACTACTTTTAGTCCTTGTAAAACGAGACGCATCAAATCGGAAACTATTTAATTCGACTTACTTTGAGGCGTATTACTTTTCTGATTGCCAGAATTAGCCCCGGCATGAGGGATCGCACATCTGTAACATCGTGTTTCAATGTGTAAACCTGTCCAAAAGAACAAGAATTGTGTTGATTTTCGAATAGGGGGAGGGGGGCGGCAGTCCCCCACCCACGCTCTTGTGGGGTCGTTTTCGGAAAAGTGATATATATATGTACCTCGCCTGGACGGGAAAAATAGACGGTGGTGCTGGACGGGAGACCAGGGAGAACCATACTGTGCACCCTCACTCCATCTTCTCCAAGAACTTGACCCCTTGCCTAATTAAACATGCCGAACGAGTTAAGTACTGTGATTAATAATTAAGTGTTTACGTTTTCTTGTTTCGTACCAGAACGTCTGTTGAAATATCTTCTTTATTGTATATCTGACCGAGGTTTGTGATATTGTTTGCTATTTGTATTGCATCCTGTGATGGAAAATCCTGTTCCATGGAAATAAATAAATTTAATGATTAATGCTCAGTATAACATTGTCTTTGTTATATATATACATTCTGCACATACATATATATACTCTGTGATTTTTAGTGTAGCATCTGCAGTACACTATGTTTTTTTTTCAGGTATATATGAACTTAAATTAGCTTGATCAACACATGTTTTTCTTTTCAATAAGCAAATTTATTTATTAAAATGATTTAAAAAAAATAATTAATTTAATTTAAGGGAGAGGAAATTCCAGGCTGGTACAGGTGGGAGGTGGACCAACTGGAAAGTTGACACAGACAACCTTGACCACTGTATTAATGGAGGTGAAAAAGATAACTCAATGGTTGTATTGAATACTAGAAATCATTTGGAAATCACAGTGATAATTTTAATTAATTAATTTAAAAGTTAATTAATTAAGAGGACTAACCCCTGAATTAGGTCTTGATTCAACAATCTCGACATTGTTGTAGTGAAAAGATGCTGTGATTGCAGCTTGTTGTTGGAGAATTGATCCAATCGACAGAGTTGGTGCTACCAAACAACCCTTAAATCATTTCCCAACAAAACCATTATTTTATTATTAATAATAATAATATTTGATTTTTGTTTATTGTTATTAAAAAAAAAAGAATAAATAATAAAAAAAAATATATTGAAGTGAAAATAATCTCTCTCACCCTGTGCTCACCATGCTGGCTTTTTCACAAAATGCCGACAATGCAGAAACTGTCTCTGTTTTGATTCTGGGTACGTACACTATGCTTCTCATTCCAAATGCTGTTGCCTTCACATTTATTATATATACATATTTTTTAATTAATTAGTTGATTAATTACCTTAATAATTAGAGTAATCAAGCTTAAGCACTATCTATATTGTATTGATTAAAGTTAAACCTGTTTGACATTCTCATAAACTGTTGAAGGGTCGGTGAAGTCCACCACAACTGCTATTTCTTTTGACTGCCAAAATTAATATTTTTAATTTATTTATTTATATACAAATTTCACTATTTAATAAATGATGCAATAAAATTAAACTAGTCATTATTAATTATTATTATCACCTGAGATATTGAACCTAGGACCATTGTGAGGTCATTTATTATGGGTATTTCCAAAGGCTCTTCCATGTCACAAACCTGATGAATATATTTATATTTCTTTTAAATTTATTCACAACCAACAAATTGAAAATAAAAAATAAAAATTATATTGCAAGCAATAATTAACACATAATTAAGTAACCTTTCCGATGTCTTCGCCGACAAGGTAGGAATCAATTGCACCAGCAACTTCCATTCCTCTTGCATTTGTCACTGCAACCACCGCCGCCCTACCAATCTCCTTCGCTGCCCCGTTTATTATCACCTTTTTTTTTTAACAATAAAATACATTTATATGTATAGTAATTTGTTGTAATTAATAAAAATAAAAATAGGGATATTACAATAAGAATTAAGGTTGTTGTTACCTTAATGTTACTCTGAGTGGGCTGCTGCATGTTGCAACAAATGTGAGAAATTCTTTTGTAGGGTTTATTTTTTGTGGGGTGGAATATTATTTTGCAGCTCAATGCTGCTGCCATGGCTGCTGTGAATAAGATTTATTATTATTTTTTTTTTCTTTTTTTTTTTGTGCCAAACAAGGAATTGAATTGGATAAGTTTACATATTATTTTTAACATTATGGTTCGATTTTCTTGGGTTTCAAAGATAAGGTTTTTTGTGTCGTTATGTTTGGAGGGAAAATGTGGGGACAATAGGGCATGTTTGGTGTGAGAGATAATTTTTTTTTTTTTGGTTAAAATTGAAATAATTATTAAATAAGAATGGGGATAAAATTGGGATGGGAATAGAACATGGATTAGTTGAAAAGTGAGGGAAAACCGGCTTACATGAAGGGTGCACGTGCGGTTATCCCAATATCACGTGCATGCCAAACTTTGTACAGAAAAATTGATAAATAACACACTTAAGCCTATTCTGGTTTGATTATGTTTTTATTTTAATATAAGCACATATTTTATTTTTAAAATCATACACATAATATAAGGTTTTGATTGATTGCTAAGATAAAATTAGTTAAATAAAATTAAACAATTTAATAAAAAAATATTTGCGATCAATTCGATAAATTAAATTTAACAAAGTCTACCTATTTAATTACAAATAGTAGTTTGTCCAACCAATCGAGGCCTAAATGCGAATAGAAGTATATTGAAATTCTAATGCAGCAGCATCCAAAGGTGTCGGTACACTGTCTCGTAAGCATACAAAAACAAAAAACAAAAGAGTAAGTTTTGGTCGGAATTTTCAAAATTCCATTAAACCACTCACATGCTTAATTAATCCCTAGATTAGTCAACAAAACGACCTCCTAATTATTCACAAAAAAGATAGGGTGTACCTTCTCTACCGGATGCTGTCCGCACTGGAGAATACCCTCACCCGAAATTCCACTTTCATAAAATGATCTATGGTTAGATAGCAACCACGTGTCTGGTGCGCTAATCCTACGGTCCAAAAGTGTCGGTGGGGAGAGAAAAAAGTTCATAGTCGCAGCCATGAGTCTGTTGATGGGCCCCCCTGGTTTGTGTGGTTTGGTTGACCGAAACGTGTTCATGTAGTGTGTGACGTAAGCCGCTCGGTCTTTGTATGGTTGGCAAATGGGACCGATGACGTGGCACGTCGATTCACTACCAATTCCGAGCACTTTACTCGATTTGGCAGGTTGTTGTAGAAATGACGTTTTTGCCCCCGATGGCAGTAATTTATTTTTCTAGGTAAAAAACAGCTAATTACGTGTTTGCCCCTGAATCACTTTTTAAAAAAATATATATATATATTTTTTATTTATTTCTACTGGTTCGTATTGCAATAAGAAATAGATGATTTACAAAGGAATTTCAAATATAAATAGTCTATAAAGTCTACTAATTTACCATTTGCTATGTAGGACAAATTACAAATACAACAGAAAAGAATGACCGAATCAGTTAATTAAGATCTTGAAAATAATTTATTTCTGTAAATGTATGACATTGACTTTACATGGAATTAGATATCAAAGGCGTTTTTTGTCCACATCAAATTCCCAGTTACCCCTTATTTACTGTCCGTCCTTCTTAATCAAAACAGAACACAAAAAAAGAAACACGAAATTGCAACCAAGTATTTACCAGCCAGTAATATATTTAATTTCACCACAGTGAAAAAAACAAAATAATAACCGAGATTAAATTCGGATGAATGACAAGAGCACGAGACCGGTCGACTAAGATTCGCTACCGGCTTTTCACAGTCATCTCAAATCTAGTGGACATCTGTCCTAATTTCCTCAAACCCCTTACAACCGGTCCCACAACTCATAATTAACACTACAATCATTGGTACCACTCTGAAATGACCAAAACGCCCCTCATTCGGCTACATTATTCCCTACTAAATCCTAGCCCACGTATTGGTACCATAGGTCAGCGGCACACCCAAGCATTTCCGTCGGTATATACCTTCCTATTTCTAGCAAAAATCTATGTATTAGTATTCGCGTAAAGAGGAAAAGTAAAATTGATTAATAGAACTAAAATAACACATATTTAGAGTTAAATTAAATAATTAAAAAAAAAAATCAGCTCTTGAACCAGACTTTTGTTTGGTAGGTTTGTGATTAGTAATAGTGTAATAAACAAATAGTTTTTATTTAATTAATTAATATAGTAATAATAAACTGAGCTCAATGTTCTTGTTGTTGTGTTCGTTGTCTATAAAAAAATCTATTATATTCTCCACCATTTTCCTCTCTTCCTTTCTCTCTCTTCAAGTTTTCTTTCTCCAGCCAAGCAGAGAGAGAAAGAAAGAAGAGAGAGAGAGAGAGGCACCACTAAATTAATAAATTTCAACATTCATTAAATTCTTTCTCCATTAAATTTTTTTGGAAGCAAACATTTGATTTTCACGGCTAACTTCCGTCGTGCTAATCGGAGTTCCAGGATACTCAGGCCCAACTAATTCTTAGCTTTTTGTAAGAGATCTGAAATCTCCGGCGCTCCTTTTTTTTTTTTTTTTTTAAATTTTTACTGTTCAAAATTCACGGATTTATTTGACTTTTATTTTTCATACTTTAGAGAGAGAGAGAAAAAAAAATCATTGTATTTTGTACGGTTATTATCTGCCGCCATTAGATACAGTTGCTGGTGTTGTTGTGAGAATTAAGACATAGATTCTTCGTATGGACGCGTGGCTGTTCATATAATGCTGCTGTTCAGAACTCTGTAAAAAGAAAAGGGAGATTTTTCATTTTTTATTTTATTTATTTTTTTTCAAACGAAGAAAATGATGCGAATGAAGACTAGGAACGACCCTTTGCCGCCACACATCGACGGCGGCGGCGTGGGGCGGCGTGGAGGTGGCGTTGAGAAAGAGTGGGAGCTCAGGCCCGGCGGGATGTTGGTGCAGAAACGGACCGACGCGGAGAACAACCCGGCGGCGCCGCCGCCGAACATCCGCGTGCGTGTCAAATACGGATCGATCTATCACGAAATCCACATCAGCTCACAAGCCACCTTCGGTAAAATTGAGTTCATTCAACCACTTCTTTTTTTAAAAAGCGTGTTTTGCTATTATTCTTGTTCTTCCACTAATTAAAAGAAAACAGGGGAGTTGAAGAAGAAGTTAACCGGGCCCACAGGGTTACACCACGAGGATCAAAAGCTGTACTACAAGGAGAAAGAGAGGGATTCAAAAACGTTTCTTGACACAGTAGGAGTGAAGGACAAATCTAAAGTCGTGCTTCAGGAAGATCCAATCAGCAAAGAAAAACGCTACCTCGAAATTAGGAAAAATGCTAAATTGGAAAAGGCTGCTAAATCCGTTTCAGATATCAGCTTGGAGGTCGACACCCTCGCTGGACAGGTAATTAATTATTTATTTATCTACATATGAATTAATTATTAATTAATGTTGATTGTTGATTACAATTAAATCATGTTTTTGATTTGGGGGTTATATGTTAGGTATCTGCACTTGAATCCATAACTTGTAATGGTGGGAAAGTTGCCGAGAAGGATGTTGTAACCCTAATTGAATTGTTGATGAGTCAGCTTCTTAAATTGGATGCCATCATTGCTGATGGTGATGTCAAATTACAGAGGAAAATGCAGGTACATACACATATTCACACACAATTCTTGATTTAAAGACAATTTATGTGTGTTCAAAATTATTCCAATTTAATTTATGTGTGTTCAATTCAATTTTTTTTCTTTTTTTTTCTGGGTGAAAGGTGAGAAGGGTGCAGAAGTGTGTAGAAACTCTTGATGTGATGAAGGTCAAAAACTCGAACCCGACGAGCAACGGGACCGCCCACCCCCCGTTGAAGCAGAAGCACTCAAACGGGGAGGAACACTCTAATTCGCCCAATCAAGAACAAGAGCAGCCATCGAGGAACTCTGCCTCGGTTGTAATAACAACACAATGGGAGACGTTCGATTCTGCACCACCACCGACGACTTCAACGGCCACGATTCGTCCAGCACAACCCAGTTTTACATGGGATTTGCTCTGATTATATCATATATATATATCGTCGTTAGGTATACTATTAGTACTAGAACACAACGTATTACGTGCTTAATTAGTGTGGATGTGCATCTTTCGATTTTTTTTTTCTCCATCCTAAGTTGTTGGTTTGGTATCTATTTCTCTCCATCCATCCATTTTTTTTTTTGGTTTATGTACTGAAATAAATGTGAGCTACTGTTATAATGTTTGATATTAATTGAAGTATTATTAATTTTTCAATTTGTATTATTTCTGCTACTTGAAACCTATTACAGTGTTTATATGTTAGATCATAGATGATAGTACTAAATTTTGCTCAATTATCAATTAGTATGTCACTTTATTCAATGTTGTTCTAGGTGCTTCTAGAAGGAAAAAAAAAAAGCAAGAATATTCGAGAAGGAATGATTGATCTTTATACCTAGCTTCCAATTAAGGGTACACGAAAACAAGAGAGAACATGACATATGTATCTGTAATGAAAATCATACAAGGACAGCTATGTAATGAAATGATGAGAATTGCATTAGTTTAACCCTAGAAACAAGATTTACTAGCTATCAGAAATTAATCCTTTTTTTTTCCATATTTGGTAAATGATGTAGTACTTTTGATAAATAATTATTAGTCTATGTAATTAAGATAATCTTTGTTAGTTAATAGTCTTTTTCGTATTAACAGCACAATAGGTTTTTAGATTAAAGTGTTAAATAGATATGGTTTTTTTTTTTTGAATTAAGTTCTAACGTGACGAATAATGGATGTAAATAAATGATCTCACAAAAATGAAAAGAATAGTGTAATAATTGTGGCCATGTGGTCCAAATCCAATTGAAGAACGAATAGATTGTGGTGTGGGGTTGTTTTGCGGCTGACATTTTTATTTTTATAATTATTAGATCTCTCTCTCTCTTGTGGTGACAGATTGGAAATTGAATTTTCATTGGACATACATGTCAAATTATCAATTGGACCAAATGCATCCAAATTAAGGTTAAAATTTGTGTTTGATGTTTGTTTTTTTCAACGAGGCTGTTAAAGTTTAGGGCCCAAATATGTATTTTGGATTGACCCCAAACTTAATTACTTCCTGCAAGTCTAATTTCTGAAAATGTCCAAGCCAATTATGTAAAACCCAATTCAGAATTAACTCTTTTTGATCTTGTTACTCCATTTAATCGTGAACGTTGTTCACTCGCTCAGACTCAACTCCCTTCTTCCAATTCTACTCTCAGTTAGAATGTGCCACTTCTCTCTGCTAATTTCTCTCTCAGAACAATACTTTGTGAATTGCTTGTCTTTTCCCGACAACTCTTAACAAAGTCTTCGCCGTATATGACTGACTTTAATGTAGGAGCAGCTCTGTCGTCTTCTGCCCTTGGTTCTATGCCTATTTATACTGCCCTTAGACAGAGGAACAAAGGTGATTATCTATACACATCTTTGAGTTTTTTTTTTCAATCTTCTTCTGTGAGTACTTGAGTCTCCAAGTTATATTAAATTGGGGTTTACTGAGTGTGAGAGCGTTTCTTCTGACGGGTTGACTATGCATATGTTGGTGAGTGAGCTCAAAGTGATTATTCATGTAGATCTTAGATTTTCTGGGTTGTAGTGCATGTGGTTTGGTGTTGGTTTCTAGTTGGAGTCACACCTTTTTAGATTTCTGAACTAAACACAAGATAATAGGGGACTCGACCGTTCTCAAACAATAGCAATTCAATGTGTTGGAACTAATTTTATACTATGCTATTCCTCATGAAATATGAAATATAATTAAAAAAATATATATGAATCAAGATCTCGGAAAATTTATTTGGGTGGTATGTCAATTAAGCCCAATTTCAATCATCATTTAGGCTATTTCACGGGCCCAAATGGGTATGCTAAAAAGCAGAATATGGTAGATTGATACGCATACGGGCCGCAATAGTTTCGGTCAAATGTTGATTAGTGAATTCAAATGAAGCATAGGTGACCGCTTAATGATATTGTAAATTATTATTTGGTTATAAAATGAATTTAATTCCTCAGAGAAATTATAAAAAAAAAAAGAAAAAAACACACTAATTTAAGTTTAATAAAAAAAAAACATTGAATGTAAAAACATATAACTCCTCTCCCACCGTATGATCATCATTGCAGATGATGATACAAATTGCAAAAGAGTTTGCTTTTATGATCTTAAAAACATTTATTATATATATATATATATATATATATATATATATAATAAACAATTGAAAAGAAAAAAGAAAAGGGAAAATATGTAACAAGAAACAGGTAGTGTGGACGGACTGGCGCAAGTGGTTTTGGGAAAAGTAGAATCAAAGTCGCACATAAAAAATGGACAGCATGCATGAAAAAGTCATGGTCCAAAAGCAAAGGCGTGTTTCATTACACTAACAAATGGAGTACCAATAAAACCATTTTTAATCCTCGTGAATGGGACCCATTTTAATTAATTTTTCCTTTTCTTTTACATGCGGAAGTGAGTTGACGTATCTTAGTTTAAACACATGATTAGAAGATTTTTCTATTCTAATCAGTAATCATCAGATAAGGTTTAATTTGTCAAAAGCTAAGGGTTTCTGGTAAATATGTAACATTTGAGGAAATCAATAAAAGGGTTGTCTCAATATACCCAACAAAATCTCATTTTTCATCTAATTTTTTAGACTATCATAATTCATAAGTTACTCTCTTTAATTCTTTTTATTTTCCCTTTAATTACGAGTAATCTTTGAGGTACGATCAAATAACTTACACCCCATTTGATATCGATAATTACAAATACCACTCTCATCTATTGCTCCGTCTAACAGTTACACTCTTGCGAAACAATGACTAACGGAATCTTGAGGATTCCATGGAATATTCCATTTTGAATTTCCAGACTTACACCCGGGGCAATACCCATAGGGTGAGAAATATAACATTTTGTCTTACCTCGGGATACTCGTAATTGCCCATAGGTTGTTTGTTTAATAGTAGTGTAATTTAGACAATTTATTCATTAAGTTGGGTTTTATAATGAGCTGTTAGTTTCAAGGGTATCCGTAATTATTTAGTTTGATCTGAGGAGATATCCGTAATTTACTCTCTCTCTCTCTTTTTTTTTTTATAATCTTTTTGGAAGATTAACACAGGTATGCGTTTATTCAAAAGTTGTTTTAACCTTTTGTTAGTGTTAATCCTAAATAATAGATGGTTAGGCAGTTGTCACTTTGTCACGGGTTCATTTCAAATTACTTCGAATATCCTATATAATTTTTCAACTAGCACTAATTAGGTAAAAATTTGAAGTAATAAAAAATTAAGTTGAACACAGGAATTAGTCTTTCATGCAAAATTGACCTGTGATCCGGATCCGGATCCTTGAATTCAGACGTCATGTTTGGTGGCGCGAAAGCAAAAACCAACTAGCCGTCTTGCCTCCCGGAGAGGGCGCCACCACCTCTCTTGCCGCCATTTTTCACGTCCACATATATTAATAAATAAATAAATCAAACTTTTTTCTCTCATTTATTATATTAAGTAGCTTTACTATGACCAAAATAACGACCAATGTATATCTTCCAGCTGATCTTTCTTGAATACAAATTAAAAAAAAAAATTAAAACAAATTAAACTTTACCAAAAGAGCCCACCAAATTATACTTTGAACTGCATATTATCGAATTCCACATGAGAAAGTAGGCTTGAGATAAGGCGAACATTTATTTTATTATTGAATTTGCGGCTGCTATTCAAATTAACACCACCTTTACTTTGAAATTTGAATTCCACTCAACGAATAATAATAATAATAATAATAATAATAATAATAATAATAATAATAATAATAATAATAAATTGCGCATGTTATCACTGTTGAACATAAATTCCTTCCTTAATTGGCGCAAGTAAATGAAACAATAATGAATTATGGGTTGTTCTCCATTTAACCAAACAATGTCATTAATTAATTAATTAATTAAATAATATTCAGACCACATCAATCACATTCAAATGAATACGATGTATATATTGATCGATCACTGCGTAATGATGAAGGGAAGAAATTAATAAGATTGAATAATTGAAGAAATATAATTAGTACGTAAGTGTCTTTTCATGCAATCAAAAGCCCAAAATATATTCAATTATCCGGCCATTCAATTCATCAACTTACATACATATAACTATATATTTCACTTTCATTGCATCACAAATTCTTGTCTCCCCCAAAGGATGCATGCATGCCATCTTTTTTACACTTCTCATTTTTCCTGCTTCAATTTCATTTTGCTTTTATATATTATTAAACTCATGACAGGCCTTATTTTGATTATTTTAGAAAAATAAATAAATAATTAACTCGAAATTGGGCAACCCCTTTTGACTTTAATATCTCAAAGGGCAACATCAAAAATAAAAATTACTAATAATAATACATGATACATGTGAATATTGTATCATTATATATAAAGATAGGTCTATGATTATCTGTACATCAAGTGTCAATCCCACTTGGTAGTCTTAATCTGGGTAGTGCTATCTATATTCATAATTCATTTATGGCAAGAAATCATCATCTTCCACACTTTGAAAAAGATGTACACTCGAAATTAAATGGATTCACAATCGTTAAAAACTTTATATAAATTAATACAGTTGGGACTAATAAAATCTAATTAATTTATCGAACTAATAAATTCAGTATATTTTTACCGAATCAGGACCGGAATAAACTATTATTTAAACAAGATTATCAATTTATCGAGGTCCTATATAGTGTAATTTTTATTTTAAAAATAGTTCATTAATTAGTACTTGGAACCATTAATTTTGTTTTCTAATATTAATTAACACATCAACATCTTTGCTAAAAGAAAAACAGAGCATGTAGTAGCAGTTAGTAAAGATAAGGAAGGCTTACCTGGCTCCTTCTGTAGGAGCATTTGCCGCCCTTTTGAAAATGAATTAACACAGTCATCAATCACTAATATAATTAAGTTTTATGTATTAATAAGTTTGAAACTTATAATAATAGTTTAAATAATGATCAATATTTCAACCTTGTAATATATATATGGAAAACTTGTCATCATCATCACTTATCTACATTAATATTCTGTAATGTTTATCCATATATTCGATCCAA